GAGGGGGGGGGGGGGGCGGCCCGGGCGCCCCGGCCCGCCAGCCCCTCGCCTCCCCGCCCTGCCCTCGCCCCGCGGCACGGCGCAGCAGCGGGTCCCCCCACGCCCCAGGGGCAAGGGCTGGGCCCCCCCTGCCCAGGGCTCTCCACCCAAAAGGGCGCCCGCAAAGTTAAGCCTCAGCCTGAATGGGAGGGGTGCGCATCTCCCCCACCTCTCGCCCCTGAACATACAGCCATAAAAGGCTCATTTAGGGCCCTCCTGGCCAGAGAGGGTTTCCCTCACCTTCATAGATGATGAAAAAGTTATGTGGTGCTGGACAACTGCATAAATTTTTCCTTGTTAATTAATTGAGTTCTCCTCCAAACTATCCCTGTGCAAATCGTTGATTTCCCACAGCACGGGTGGCAGGGCAGAGCATAGGCTGTCAGCTGCAGATGTACGCTAGACCATTCATCTCTAGCTCCAGTATATAAATTCTGGTGTCTACATATTTTGCTGAAAGCCTTTCTCAGAGGAGGATGTACATCTGCTCATAAACAAGAAGAAAATAAGTATTCTTGCTGGGAAGGAAGAAAGGCAGCAGCAAAAATGCTGAAAATTAAGACTGAAAAAGTATGGTGTGTGAAACCTCTCGCTACAGGAAAACAAACAGCAGCATATGATACTTAAAAGTTTCATAACCAAAAAAAAAAATACTACACACTAAGAAAGGTGCATGAAAAATGACTATGCATTTTTCCTCTGATATTTAAAGAATTCTTGCCAAACATGGTTTTTTAAAAAAAAAAAAAGTTCCACATTCTTCTGACTCAGTAAAACGTTAAGAAAGATTTTACTTTTATGTGCGTAGTAACAACTCCCCTTGTCTTTAGCAATCGTTCTTCTGTAAGAGTAGGCTTGTCTGAAATCTCAAACACACACAGAAAAAAGCATAATTCTTTGTCGAGCTACACATATCCAACAAGCAGCTGAAGATCTAGAATAGCAAGTTATGCTGATGCTAAGAAAATGCAATTTTAACCCTAAACCACTGCACATATATATATGTCCGTGGAATGCAACTTTTATGAACAGAACACTGTACATCTCTGAGAACTACAACTGCACTTCCAAGCATATTTAGAGCACAAAGCAAATTATTTCTCTGAAGCCTTCTGAAGATTTTCTATATCTTATTTCAAACTACGCATCCTGAAACCCTGTTTCGAGCTAAGGGAACTGAATGCTGTAGTGCTATGCAGGCTCTAAAGGGATTTTGCTATCATCTCATTTTTGGTAACTTCTGTCCTAAAGACCTACCCACACATGTACAAAAGTAATCTTTAAGAGTATTGTGATTTTTTTTTTTCATTTTCTAATCTGCTAGAACAAATTAGAAGGCAACAGACTGCCTAGCAAAGGGCCAAGGTCACGCACCCCCACATAAAGCCCAAGCAGGCAAGCTTTGCAGCAGAGAGAGAGATTTGCACTACCAGTCCAGGGACAAGGTGTATTTGCAGGCTTCTCTTGTTCACATATGCAAGCAGCAGAGGATGGGAAGCAAAAACGCAGACAGAAAGTTATCAATCACTTATTTTTTTTAATCCTTCTGTTGAGGGTAATGATCATGGGTGTCACATAACTAATTATCTCACAAAATCACTACCACGAGGAAGACTGACATCCACAGTAATTGCTGGGTGACCACAGCCGACTGCTGTGGTAACCTCAGCTTCCTCCCCCTTCCATATGCCTTACAACTCACACTTCAAAACATATTAAAAAAAAAAAAAAAAGGCATTTCCACAAAAAAAAAAAAAAGCATTTCCACAGTGGCAGAACTCGAGTTTTGTTACCTCCAGAAGCACAAAACATTGGAGGCAGCACTGGCTGTTACTTCAGCTCAACAAAAGGTATCAGAGGGGGAACACCTTAGCACAAACAAGGCAGTGGGCAGCCTTTTCTAGCTGAAAAAGTGAAAAGAAGCACATCCACAGCACAGACAACTGAAAGCAAAAAGAAGAAACCCTGTGATCTTTTCCCTAAATCCCCAAAGCTTGTGGGACAGCCACTTCCCATAGCAGTTTATTAATAAATAGGCAATAACATAACAATGAAGTGTGTTTAAGCTGGTTCTACTGCATGTAATTTGTTTCCTTCAAAAACAACATTCACAGCACAGAGCCAACGCACAAAAATAATCCTATACTAGGCTGAATTAACCTCAGTCGAACTGTTGGGTATGCTGTTTCTTTCAGACTGCTCTAAATCACTACATTTTCTTACAGGAGAGAAAATAATAGTCTCAAACAAAACTGTGTCAAAACGAAGGAAAACATAAGGCTGCT